ATTAATATTTATAAACAGTTTAGTCTGAAGGATGTCACATGCATCCGTTTCTTAATAGTGACACAATTACGTTATTACGTGTTGCATGCTTTATTATTCCGTATATGCACCGGCCTTCGCTAGGAAATGGCGATGGGTGACGGAAAAATACGTATTAGTGTTAGCTATACCACCTAAACTATATATATATAATATTTGATAATTCTAAACTTTAATATAATCAATAAAACGATTAATAATTACCATATATAATAAATAAAAAATTAAGATACGTCAGATAGCATATTAAAATGAACCATAAAAATATTTATAAACTGTTAAAAACAATAAATATATACATCCATTAGATGAAATGACAAATGTTATACTATCAAAATAATATCGTATTAGGTAACGCCATAGAGACGGAATAAAATATATTATCTGTTAATTTAATAATGTATTACATTAATTTGTTCTATAATAAAATAAACATCTATCTACCCACGTATAAAAATAATTGATGAGGAAACGAAGAAAAATATAATGGTTCCGTATGATTTAATATAAATAATTAGCTATCGAATATGTATTGCGGGGTCTGTGATAAATCATATAAATAATTTTTCATATTAAATATTAAACTGGAACTACCCACGTGTTAATTATGAGATTTTACTATAGATAGCTTCAAAAATTACTTAAATATAATTAAATTTAAATGTATAAAAATATATGTTTTTTTATATAAATAATTTTCTAATATTATCACACCTAAAAATACTAACTACAAAAGAGTTCCTTTTATGTAACACTGGCTGGCAGTTTGTTAAATGACATTTTCAAATTTAGAAACAAATTTAAAAATGGAACGTCCGAAAACGTCGCTCGGCCGCAAGTGATCATTAAAGGTCGTAAAGTCAACTATAAATATATATTCGACGTTCGAAACAACAGCTCTATTGAAGTTTTTTGTTATTTTAAATGATTTGGGAAAGCAAGCTTTATGTTATTTAACTAAAACTACCCTTATAATACATCGTAGCGTCTACGAGATTCGTAGAACTACTACACGGAAGCAAAATATATCAATGATTTTATACTTATACAAAATATATTAATATATAAATAAAATGCAATATTATATAGCAACATGAATAACAAACACGTTATTTAAAATACGTGGCAAGACCGTTACAACATTGAATACTTAAATCAAAAGTCTAAACAATTACAATACATCTGAATCATGAGTCACGGGTTACGTAATTTGGTACAGAAGTGATTAAAAATGTATTCAACAATTATATGTGAGCGATACAGATTATATACCGACACTAAGAGGCCGGAATAAAATACCGGAGCTAATCTATTAAACGCTGTCAACTAACAGCGGACCTCTTTTATTAAATAAAAAAAAAAACTCGCGCTTGTTCAGTTACGCTGCGCCAATTATAAAAGAGTTCCTACGTGTCCTTATAAAAAACTCAAAACCTACTGGCCGGTAACAAAAAAAATCATTTAAAAAGTCAACGATCTAATTCAAAAATGGCGTTCGAATTATGATTTAAAACGTGTTCCGGAGAAACTCGACGTTTCTAAAAACGAGCATCTAGCGACCGCTATTATACATACGGGTAATGAGCTCTACTTACGAACGAATCGGACTTTTACAGAAATTAAAATTAAACAATCACTCAAGTTATTTTATTTATTTATCGATACGGTTTATAAACAGAGGCGAGTTATACCGCACGTGGGTAAACATTTTGTCAATTTTAACAATTTAACGTCCCAAAAAATACATAAACCTCAGAGCGTAGATCAATATTATAAATTTAATTTATGTATCATAAAATAATCAAAATCTAAAACGCCTTACATTAGATACCAGATGCAAGCAATAAAAAGCTCGTTATCGAGCTTTCTTCAAACATATAAATGGCCACTCCGCTCGTATGTTCAACGAAGATAGTGTACTTCATAATAATATAATGTTTCAAATATTTCAAGGCTAACCGTTCTCAGCTGTCAATCATAATACTCTATCCGTCTCCCTCTAGCACACCACTCCATATATGTCCATCTCGCTCGGTCGCGCTCGATCGGCCGCCTCGCCTTTATTTGAAAATTTGATTTTAAATGTGGAATGAATAAGCATTATCTTAAGGAATCCATTCTTTTATTTGAATTTTTAATTCCTTTTTTTCCGGCTGACTACTTTTATTTTTAATTATATTCGGTCAGGATTTCGTTTTTTAAGATTTATTAAGCGATGTAAATGTAATCGGCCAGTTCTTTGTTTTTTTTTTTAAATTGATTTGGACTCCGATGTCTGTGAGAGTTAGTTGATTATTAGTCGGTGAGTTAACTGCCCCGTCATAGTTGGGTGTTAGTCGTTATTCCAGTTCGAGTTATTAATGTAATCAGCTGAGCACTTAATTTTATAACTGATATTAATTTATGAGAACACCGTAAAGAGGTGTTATAAATACATTCATTCTGTTGTCCTATAACTTGGAACTCAACATCAAAGAGTAATAACAATAACGTCGTTATTTCTTAGTGAAATGTCAAATTTAATATTAACTGCAGTTTCAGCGCTCACAGCATATGTTTATGTAATGCAACACTTGAAATATTTGTGTGTTAATGCATCAGGTATTCCGTTGGCTGGAATTTGTCGAGTTTGTTTTTGTAAGTCAATATCCTAGACTGCTGTCCAAGCGTCTGGAGTCACTCTTATCTCGTTTTTTCTATATTACTTCCACATATAAAAGCGTTGTCTTCGTACTAAGTTCTTTGAATGCAAAATAATTAATTGGACCTCCAGCAATCACAAAAACCTACGCACAAATCTCCGAATCGACAGTAATACGTAACCCGACACCCGAGATATAAACAACGCAGCACTCATTGTTATTAAGAGGTCCTTAAGTTTCTTCTCAGAAGCTCTCGGTATCAAAACAAAATTCGACATGACACTTATAACGCGTCAGACGAACAATTATAAACCCTATCACTGCATCATAAAGATTATTTTTATTATTATGATAACGTGCTAACGTTTGTCGTAATAAAGATTTGTATTTAAGTGGAAACTCTAGAAATTTGAACGGATGCGTCTACGTGTTGATCGATGATGGACCTTTATAACACTACATAAGGTTCATATTACTTTGAATATGTATATATTTCCCTTTGACTGAAAATAAAGTATATTTAGCGTGGAGCGCGCGATCATTTTATTATAATAAAGACATTTGGAGCGTCGCAGCGTATCTTGAGCACCATGTTAGTAGACGTGTCACACCGTAAATGTTAAACACGCCTTTTTCGCGCCAACCTTGGGCCAAACAATATCCAATAATAACAATAAAACAGTCACAATTACATGCGCGAGCGCATTATTAATATTGATCATCCAACATGGCGGACAATATGGCCGAAGGACTCCGGAAGTCGCTTAATAGTTAACATTTTCGTAAGAACACCGTTTACTTATATATGTTTTATTAAACGTGATTATATAAAAAAGTGAAATCTTAAACAAAAAAAAAATTAAACATAAAAATTTGAAGGCCGTTACAAAATATAATTACAATTATTGAACTCTGAACTTACTTATAGAGACAATACGTAACTGACTCTGAATTAAGAGGGAGTTAAATGAGTTTTTGATTACAATATTTCATTCATATAAAATAAAATCGATACAATAAAGAAACTAACTTTCTAAAATCCATTGTTTAAATTAGATCATGTTGACATTTGACGATGTATCGAGACGGGATTTTATCGATACGTGTCAATCGATTTAATATTTTGGAACCCGTTCTGATAACATTTAGTTATGATGCAATTGTTTGTCAATATACATATAATAAAATATACTTATACGAATTACTTAAATCATCATCAATTTTTTTTTATTCAATCTTCCATAGATTTTTTTTTGCAACTACCGCCCACTACGTTTTAAATATATGATCAGAAAATAATTATTTTAATGTCTTTTGAATTTATGTATATACGTAATGTAATTACAACAAATACTTATAACACAAGTAATGTTAGTTTAATGATTGTTAAAAAAATTAAATGAAAAACGCGAGTGAAGCAACGTGAGATAACTAGTTGTGTTTCTAACGGCGTCCGAAGGCCGCTTTGTAAGTAACAAGTAATTGTACACCAATGCTAAGAATTTCAACACTAATTTTTTGTTATACCAATCTCGTTTTCTCGAAAACAGTTCTAATATGTTGAATATAATTAATTTGGAAGTTGATCGATGCGTGATACTTGTATGTATTTTTTGTATCATTATATTTAAATTACAACGAATTACGTCAATTCATATAGAAAACGGAACGGAACGGGCTTTTTTTTGTACAGCTTTACGCGAATCTAGCGTGTTTGTGTATTTTTTTACAGCATCATATTCTTTGAACGGTTCGTAGCTATTTAATCATAACAGCTATCTGGTTATATAATAATATAGAATTATAGAACTAGAGTAATTATACGCCCACGTATTATATGTTTTATTACATTTTATATAAATTCTATTAATGTTAAACTGAGTTTTCTGTTCCAGATCTTACACCTTCGGCTGATTTTGAAGACTGATTACATTATAAGGTCAACTAGGATGTAACTGAACGTCAGATATAAAGCCACGGTGAGTTTGGGAGGCGAAAGGTCAAAGTTTAGCGACCTCCATATAACGTACAACAAGAATCGATACAATTTAATTATATCCAAACAACAGAGGGAAAATTTTTAATTGAATTCATAACATTGCACAGTATTCAGCTAATCTCACTGTCAACAAAAGACTATTGTTTCTTCTCGACACATTGTCTCCATTTAAAACGAATCGAATATGAATCACTGTTATTATTTGACACTAAAATATGTTGAATTCAAATTTGATTGTTTGTAATCTTATGAAAGTGAAGAATTGCATTGTTATAGGTCGGAGTTGGGCGTCGGTGTGATCGGGGTTCAAGAGAACAGCAATGACTACTGCGATGGCGCACCAGGACTCTATACACGAGAGACTGCAGCCGGCCGAGGAACCGCTGTACCTGCACCATGGGGCGACCTGGAGCTCGGAGACGACGGAGAACCAAGACGACCACAGCACGGACATGTCGCCTTACTACAACATGCCAAAAAGAAACAAGAGAAAGAACTTCAAACCGCGGTGTGCGCCAAACGCTACGACCTACTCTGATGACTCCAACGGAGGAAACTGCGAGAATAACCTCACAAATGGAAACGACAGAACAACACCCGAACAGGCTGACGAAGAATCTGATGGCTACAATAAAATTGGTGTCAAGAACTTCAGTCTGATTAAAGGTGGCGCTGTCGACCTCAGCCGGCGATTGAGCACCGATTCAAATGAAAACATAGAAACAAATTACCAGAATACTGACGAAAAGAAAATAGATTCCTTCCAACGATCGTACATACACAGCCTGCAAGTGAACCAGCCGGCTGAGAGAGATCATACAGTGCTTAACTTTAGTAATTTACAAAACAAAACATTCTGTGCCAAAAATCCTTTCGCCATATCACAGTTAATAAAAACTAATTCGCCTCCGCGGAGAAGGGAATCCGATTCTGATGATGAGGCCAAGGGTCAGGATATAAATGCTAACGATAGGCTTGAGAACCAAGTTATAGGGGAGTCTAATGAAAACCAACATAATGGTGATCCGTCTAACGCTACGAATAGAATCTTGAGGGATTACGCCATGAATACTATGAAAGAACTATTGGGTATCTATGGCTTATCATCGAATGAAGTAGCAGACGCGATCAGTGGCCAAATAAGAGCGTTAGAAGCGCTCCAAGGTGGGTAATATAAAAAATAACCATTTTTTACCATTATGGGCCATTTTAACAGGTATTTTTCTACAGGTAAACCCTTTACTCAGTTACCTCTGAGTCTGAAGCGACGTCATGATTCAGGGGATGGAACTGATAGAAGTATTCGAAGGTCTTCGTCAGCGACTGAAGATGAAGGATCAACCAACATAACTCCTCCAAAAACACCTGACAATGACATTGAGGCCCAAAGGTGAACAAAATTCATCTAATTTATGTTAAAATATATATTTTTTTCTTTATTATCAATAAGTCGACTATAATATATAATATCTCTTGTTCGACTATAACTTAACTCAATTTCTTTTCTTATTTCCTCTATCAAAAGGATTTCTGGTAAAAATCTCTTTTAAGAGATGATTTATACTTTGTGCATCACATTTCTTTTGTTATAATGTAACTACAACATTTGATACATAAAAATAAATAACTTATCCATTTCGAATGTTTATATTACCAATAATCTCAGAAACTATGAAAATAAAATGAATTAGGTGTTTTTTTTCCAAAGAAAATTATTATACATTAAATTATAATTAAAAACTCAAGCGGTATATAATTAAACTATAATTAATAAATTAAATTTCTATTCCATTTATTAAGAATATATTTTGATAACCAGACAAAGGGCTCTTCGGATAATAAACCAGCAATCAATGCGTTTGTTTCGTTCCGGGCGAGAGGAAGACAGTTCTGATGATGGAGACCAGACCCTCGACCTCAGTGTGTCCAGAGATACAGACGGACAGGTACGACTTATATATATATATATAGACTAGAAGACCCGGCGAACTTCGTATCGCCCTATAATCAAGAAATATCTGTTACGTTTTTTCATTTATATTTTTGGAGTTTACCTATTAAAGCCATAAATCTCTGTGTTTTGAAGTGCGACAGAATAATTGACATATTAGTTAGTTGTCAAATCTAATGTCAAAAAAAAACGTTTGTATCAACAACTACTAATAAATTGAAAATTAATTAAAAAAACATTGTCCAGCGGACAAAATTGTGAATCTAAATATCTTCTAATAAATAAATTTTCCATGTCACAATGTTAGTTACCGTACTCCTCCGAAATTGCATACCGATTTTTACCAAATTTTATATATGCGTACTCAATACTTCTGATAGTCGGCAACTATTTATTTTTCATACCCCTCAGTGATAAGGGTTGTTCACCTCAATTTTTTTTTAATTTTTGGCACATTTTTAATTTTTTTTTATAATATGCAGTTAAAAGTACGTACAACCCTAAATTTTTATATAACAAAACAAAATTTGCCGGGTCAGCTACATATACAATATATGCTTTTCTGTTTTTTACGTCTGACATAGTCCTCTTTATATAACAGCGTTTATTATATTCGTTCTTACTTTATACATAAAACTTATGTACTTGAACCAAATATTTCTTTGGTCAATATAATATATATAAGGCATGTATACATATGTGTATATGTAAATTTGTTATTATATATATAGGAATTATCAACAACTTCGAGCGCCGGTAACAGTGTTTCGGAGTACGATCAAAACATGATGATGAGGAAGAACCTCGAGGACCTCGCGAATTTACAAATGCAGGTAAACTCATCACTCATCGGATTATAACTCATCTACATTTATAACTCATCGACATTTATAACTCATCGTCATTTATAACTCATAGGATTACATTTAAATTTTATTTAATTCATTCTTTAATTTCTATGACTGTATATAACTGTTATATTTGTTTGTGTTGACAGAGAAATAAATATGTTAATTTTTCTTACATATTTTTTGAATGTTCGTTCTTTTGTTCATATGATGTTTTGTTTTAATGAAAATAGTATATGCAGTATATAATTATCTTTTAACAGAATTTCTTCCAAAAACAATCTATGATGGATCCCGAAGACTCTCAGGAACGGAAGCTTCAAGCTAGTGGTGAGTTCATTCATTCAATAACATTCATTCATTCGTTCTTTTAAAGTGTGAATGAATAAAATTCATTCTATTTTAACGTAGGAATTCAAGTATAACACATGGTAATGTGTTAAGACGAAAGTATTGCGTGATCGTAAACACTAAGATGTCCATCTGCTAATTACACTATTTCTCACCAACACCATAATTGACTAGCGGCTCTACTTACTTACTTACTACTTACTTACAAAATGACATATATATAACTCATAATACATAAATATATGTATGTATGTACTCATAAAATCTCATCATCAGCCTATCAGAGCTCATTTCTGAGCAAAGACCTTCTCACATGGAGAAAATTTGAATATTAATCACCACGCTTGCTCAAGACGGATTGGCGATTTCAAACTTATAATTTGAAATTATAAGTCCAGGTTTCCTCACGATGTTTTCCTTCACCGTATGTCAGTGGTGTCTAAATACTCTTAGATAGTACATATTATGATTCAGAAAAATCACATTGGTACTTGTCAGGTTTCGAACCCGCGCCCTCATGCAGGAGAGGCGGGCCATTTAACCTCTAGGCCACCATAAAATCTATGTAACTCAAAAGCTATACAAATTCAATAACTGTTCCCTAATGATATTCATAATCAAATATCATTACATTGTTTGAGTCGCCCGCGCCGCCACAGTCTATAACATTTCTCCACAAAACCGTCGTTTCTTTACACTTTAACGTGAAATATGACAGCTCACTAATTTATTCTGTGATCCATCGGTTTTGTCTTTATTATAGATACTCCACAAATATTTAACTTGTGTCCATTGAACTCGAAAGGTATATAATTTTCATATATCCTATTAGACGTTAAATTTAAAAGCAATTTAAAAACAACTTGAACGTTTAAACCGATATTAAATTTAATTTAAAATTCGTGTGAACCAAATTATCTACAAAAAAACTTATCTACAGAAGACCTAGATTACAAATCTAGTCTTCTACTTTATAATAACTCATATAAGGCAGTATACACACAAAAGTATAGTATCATTAATATGTAGTACGTGTGTGATCAGCCTAATCCGCAGTCCTTGTTCCCTATGTACGTACAAAGTCCACACCAGTAAATCACAACGAGGAAAAAAGGCCAATTGAATCTACATAGCTTTATATCCCCCAGTATCCACTGCTGTCTTAATAAACACACTCAATTGAGAGTTGCTCTGTCGTAACACCATTACGTTACGTACTCGTAAAATGTTCATTACAGGCTAGGATCATTAATATATATTATATATATTAATAAAAAATATAAAAAAATTGGATTATATAGTATATACCATATATAAATCCTTTTAACATATGTCATTATATACATATATATAGCTACATTCATATAGATATATCAATGAAAAAAATATCAATTACTCTCGTCTTTCGCAATGTACATTTTTAGCCTTTTAGCCAGTGTATATATAATAATTATAATACAGTAAGTCGTACATGTGTAAGCTGCCTTATAAAAGTTCCCTAGTCCGGGGTACGCAATAGGCAAATAGTTTCCCATTTATGTATAATAGACGCTCGCTCCGTCCGGTGGGAGACGATTTGCTTTATTGTCGTGCGACTGTACCGAGCCTTGTTTAACACCTGACACAATAACACACATACAAACACACATATGTTTACATGTATGATCATAACTCCCAAAACTGATGACCATATTATTGAAACTATTGTTCATTAGTATACAAATAAATTAATTAGTAATTACGATTTCTGATATAGAAATAGCCGAATTAAAAAATATATTTTTTTGTATATCTGTCTGTACGTGTGTTATGACTTATATTGGAAACTACTGAGTGGATTTTGACGGATTTTTCATCATCATATATAATATATATGAATTAATGAATAAGTAATGATTTTATTAATCATGATAGCTTATTATAAAAATCTTCAATATATATATACAGGGTGACTGGTGAATTACTATCGATATTTGAGGACGATCATATATGACGAAACAAAAATTAATATAACATAAATATTACTAAACTTCTACAGACCTTACGGCGGCGCTGTGTCCACACTTTATTTATTTATACGGAAATTTGGTCAAAAATTAAGTGCCTATTTTTTTTACATAATTCAAATGAGAATCATGTACCGAGTATGCTCCTTAAATATTGATAGTAATTCACCAGTCACCCTGTATATATATATATATATCTACGAGTATACGTAATACGTATCTTTCATCCCACGTGTTTCATCTCATTCTTAACAATCAACGTCGTTCTAACTCGTTCCGATACAGGCCGGGGGCGATCAAGCAATAAGTTTAATGTATTAAAAAAATATACATCTCTTAATTACAGTTATTAGAGCAAAGTTCCTATCATTTGATTTGAGTTTTTTGAATATTTATTACAAAATATTCGTTTCCGCAGTCAACGGACTTTAGAATTTTTTGGGGTTCCGTTAGCAAAAATACAGAAAAAGTGTAATATATAAGTTTATAATTTGTAAACAAGTTATTAATTATGTAATTTAATAAAAACACGGATTAAATTTAAATGAGAAAATCTTTTTTTGTAATTTCAAATATAATTATGTTCGAGCATCCCATTTAGAGACTGAGTTTAATCGATAAATCGGATGTTTAATTATCGATAATCACATCACTATATCGATGTTTGCGTAATAAAAGCACAATTAACGTCTTTATGGCGATAAATCTCGCAAAATAAGCCATAAAACGATGTAAAATCGGTGGAAACATTTGATCGTTGTAATAACTGTTTTATTTACACACGTTTAGGGTTCAAAATGTTTTGATAACAATAAAAATGGTATTATTTTAATATACATATAAAGCGTTCTAAGTTATTTCATTAAAATGATATATTATAACAGGCTATTATTATAGATATAATCTTATATCTCTGTATTAAAATTAAAGTGAATACCATTTCAAAGTATTTCGAAAGACTTTTATTTTGTCTTTTGATATCTTTTAAAAGACTTTCATTTTATAATAATAAAAGTCGTTGTAGCGATTATGTCTTATTTCCTATCGTAAAGGAAACAGAATCCAACATGTGGACTCCCTTTGTTAATTAACAAGCATCCTTTGAACAACAGATCCGTGGAGTCGATATGAACTTTAAACATCACATATATACATATACTAGCTTTTGCCGCGACTCCGTCCGCGTGGAATAGTGACTTCCGGCAGATTTTTGGTCCTTCCCACATAGTTCCCGTTCTTGCGGGGTTTTCGGAATGGTCGAGTTCCCGTAGAATTTTCAGAATAAAACCTGTTTTTTTTATTCACAATGAAGCACTCTTAATCAACAACATATTTATCTGTTTATTTGAATAAAGATTAATATTATTATGTTGATACAACTTAAACAAATTATTTTGACCAAATTAGGTACCATAAAAACGGTTTTTGTGAGTTAATCTTAGAAGATAGACATATACTGTCGCGGACTGTTTTTTAGATCATTAAAAGAGCTATTATTCTTTCATACACATTTTTTGTGTATCTTGAACCGTTTTCACGGCGCACGCAACGGAAGGCTTCAAAGATGAAATAATTTCTCCCGTTTTTTACACATTTACCACTATATCTTTGCTCCTATTGGTCGTAGCGTGATGTTATATAGCCCAAAGCCTTCCTCGATAACTGGACTATCCAACAAAAAAAGAATTATTCAATTCGAACCAGTAGTTTCGGAGATTAGCGCTTTCAAACAAACAAACAAACAAACAAACAAACAAACAAACTCTTCAGCTTTATAATATTAGTATAGATTTAATTATATGCGAATGATTTATTGCTATTTTAATGTTATAATTTAATTTGAATACTATATAGCGTTAAAATTTCTTCCTCTTTTTTTGGCATATCCGTACAAAAGTTATTAACAAAAGGAGTATCAAACACCTCCATATATTTAATACGCGTATAATTTCTTTGTGGCACCGCGTTGAATGTTAGCAGACATCATAAAGTATGCATTTCTTTTAACATGTGTGTGTGAGACGTGCTCGCTATAGGGTCTTATCACATAACATGGAACATATACATAATTTAATAATTTTTTTATTAAATAATTCAAATCCTATATTTTTAATTAAAAATTATTTATTATGTATGTGTGTTATAATGTATTTTCAATATGTTCGATATGTGTTTTGTTTTTCATCCGGTCGTTGTGAAAGCCCCAGCACGCACACATGCGCCTCCGATCACAATAACTCAATCGCATACGCATCTTTGCATATTCATTTGGCCAGCAGTTTGTATCTTTGTATAAAATTATAATGCATTATGTGACCAGACGTTGGTTTTTTTTGTAGCGAGTCCTGTTCTGTGTATGTTAAGGGATTATTCTATATGCATATATGAATTCATAAAGTGCTTCGTGCTATATAGTGTTTGAATTCCATGAGTTACATAAATTATATGAGTTATATGAGTTGTAGCATTCATGAATTCATACAATTGTCGCAACCCGTTCTCAGTATCGTTTTCATTTAAAACAATAATCGATCGAAAATATTTATGTTTTTAATTGCGTCTACCGAGAAGTAGCTTCCAGTTTTCGTTGGGCTTTAAAAAAATTGGCATAAAAAGACGTAAAATTCGCGATTACGTTACATGTATACAATTTAACCGTCGGTTTTGGTTATAAAAGAAAAAAACAGTACATCTCTCTTTAATAACATTGTTCGTAAAAATTTTAGCAATTCATTTACACCGTATTGCAAAAATATTTAATTATGTTAAAATATTGCAATTTTGTTTTAGGTATGTAAAACGGTGTCACAATATTTGCGTTAGTTTTGTTATTTGTAACAAATTAAATAAAATTGAGTAAGCTATATATCAAATATCTTTGAATGAGAATGGAAACGTCTTTAATATTACTTCAATTATCTAATTAATTAACATAATATTAATAGTAAAATATTTTTGACCATTTGACATGTC